AGCTGAATTAATTTAACAGCTTTCTCTCTCTCTCTCACACTGCTTCCCCAAATCTGACACTTTATTGAGTCACTCTGAGAAGCTGCTACCTTATACTGTTGCCTGGCAACCTCATATCAAACGTCCGATTTGCCTGATTTTCCTCCTGTTGTTTGTGAATACAAACTAAGTCATGACAGCAGAGGAGTAAACAGACGTCGGGCTTTAAGGGAGGCCTGTAACCAGAGCAGACAGGGAATTTAAGACAGTATGTTTAATATACAGCTGCTGTGGTTTTAATAGTTTCAGTCACAGATGTAACGGCTCAACAATAATAACAGGAGATGAGACATACTGTCAGTCATGTTGTCAAACTCTGTCCGATCAAAGCTGGAATTAAAGGAGGCATCAGTTAGCGACATTTGAGCACATACTTATGACCCATCTTTGATTTTGGACCATTTTTCTGATTCCTGTGAGAAACCAGCTAATCAGAAAACTTCACATCACATCATAAACAGCCCTATGCTGCCAGTGGCAGTATACTGTACGGCTGATATTATCCATCCATTATCTATATGACTTATTCCTGAATAGGGTCACGGGGGGCTGGAGCCAATCCCAGCTGACACTGGGCCAGAGACGGGGTCCACCCTGGACAGGTTGCCGGTCTGTCACAGGGCTGACATGTAGACAAACAACCACACACTCCAATTTAGAGCCACCAGTCAACCTAAGCTGCATGTCCTTGGACTAAGGGAGGAAGCCAGAGTACCCGGAGAGAACCCACGCAAGCACGGGGAGAACATGCGGACTTCACACAGAAAGGCCCCGGGTCGGCCGGGGCCCGAACCTGGAACCTTCTTATAGCTGATATTAGCCAATTCCAAATTTTGAAGCCAAAGAACTACGGGAGTTAAGTGACAGTTTGCCTTTCAGGGAGTGCAGTCAAGTTTACTTTTCAGCTCTGACATGTTTCGTTCAATATATATTGTGGGTTAAATTCTTTAAAAAATACATTTCAAATGAAAAAATTGGTTAAAAATAATCAACAGCTCATTTAAACTCAGACATATGGACAATATTTCTCTTCTGTACTCCTGTAACTCTGCTGGAAGAAGGTAAAATGGATCAAAACGGGAACAACAGAACCAACAATAGTCATTTTTTTACTCCATGCATCTTCTTCCCAAGTTGAAACCAGGTGCCTACCCTGCCCACAATCCAACTCAACTGCCCACTTTTTCCCAGAATGTGACAATTTAACACTTTGCTTCTCAAACAAACATAAGGCAGAAGAGAGTGACCTGGCTCACATTGGACATCATATTATAATAACAGTAATCTCTGTGCTATTTCACTGTTGAATTTGCAAAGAGAAATTTGCAAATAAAATTATGCATTAATGCAAGAGAGTCTCCTACAAGACTTACACTTTTAGCACAAGGTCCTCTCAGTAGCTTTTAGAGCCAAGTCTGGTGGAAAACAGCTAGCAGTCTGCTGAGGAGCATGTGAAATGTGGATGAAAGCTCCAGTAAAAAGCTGTTTAGCAGACGTTTTCCTCATTTTTTATTAATTACATTAATTGATAAATTATTCTCTTGATTGTCCTTTCAGAAAAGCAACAACAGCCTTGCTTGTTTAGTTGATGTTCCTCATTCTTAAAGTGATTTTTGTAAAATTCTACTGAATATAAAATCTGAAAAACACCAGAGACAACATTACGCCAGACGTAAACACAGAGACCCCAGTCTCTCTCACAAAGAAATGACCAGAATGCAATGCAGACAAATCACATGTTGGATACGTACGCCACTGTTTCTTTTTTTTTCTTTACTGGAAAATATTTCTATTGCTCCCTCCTCCTACAGACTGAACCCCCAGCTGAATGGAACAAGCTCGTGCCCCCTCGCTGCAGTATGTGGGCTGTCAGAGTCACT